AGATTCTTTCCAAGAATGGCGTCATTTTCTTGAAGGAGCTACATACCTAGTGACCGTATACACAAATCACAAGAATTTGGAGTATTTCATGTCGACTCGAGTTCTTAATCGATGTCAAGCTTGGTGGAGTATGTTGCTATCTAGGTTCGATTTTGTTATCACTTATCGACCTGGAAAGCAGCAAGGACTATCTGATGCCTTATTGAGGAGATCGTATCTTGTACCAAAGGCTGGAGAAGGAGCGTTTGATCAACAATGTACGATGTTGTTGAAGCCAGGGCAATTTCAGCTTCGCACTACTATTGTGCCAATTGATGCTGACTTCTTGAATCAGGTACGCGCCATGACCATTAAAGATTCAGTAGCCACTGATATCAAGCAGCGTGCCAATGACGACAAATTCAATGTGGAGGGAGATCTTTTATACTTTGAGGAGCGATTATATATCCCAAAAGGACTAGCACGACTCCGAGTTCTTCAATCTCGCCACGATTTTCTAGCTGCGAGACATTTTGGATTCAACAAGACCTTGAAGCTTATTTCTCAAGATTTTTGGTGGCCCCAAATGTGGAAGGATATGAAAGCTTTTGTCCTCTCCTGCAACATCTGTTCAAGATCCAAGAATCCTCGGCATTGCCTTTATGGACTCCTACAGCCATTGCCGATTCCACGTTGACTATGGTCTTCAGTTTCTATGGACTTCATCACGGACCTTCCATCATCGAACTCATTTGACAGCATCTTTGTCGTGATAGATCGGCTTACAAAGATGGCGCACTTTGTTCTTTGCAAGAAGACATCATCCAATGAAGTCACAGCAAGGCTCTTTCTTGATAATGTGTATCAATATCATGGACTACCAGATGATATCGTATTAGATCAAGGAACCCAGTTCGTATCAAAGTTTTGGAGATCTCTCTTTGAGATACTGAAGGTGGATATCAAGATTTCTTCGGCTTTTCATCCTCAAACTGACGTCTAAACGGAACGGGTGAATCAAGTCTTGGAACAATACTTACGATGCAGCATCAACTATCAGCAAGACGATTGGACCACATATCTGTCGCTAGCCGAGTTTGCATATAATAACACCTTCCATGCGTCGACTCAATACACACCATTCTTTTCTAACTATGGGTATCATCCGAAGCTTGATTTATTGAGTCCGTCAACAAATAACAATCCAGCAGCTCAAGGATTTGCGAAACAACTATCAGAGCTTCAAAATACGTTGAAGCTTCAAATACAATCCGCTCAAGAATCCTACAAGGCGTTTGTAGATAGATTTCAGAATCAAGCACCTACTTTCAAAATTGGAGATAAAGCATGGCTTCTTTGACGAAATATTAAGACCAAGCGACCATGTGATAAGTTGGACTATCGAAGATTGGAACCATTTATCATCCAGAAGCAAATCAATCCAGTGGAGTACCGTTTGGAATTACCGGCTTCTATGAAGGTACATCCAGTCTTTCATGTTTCTTTGTTAGAGCCTTATCGAGAGTCGTCTTTTTCTGAAAGAGTACAATGTCCGCCACCTAGTATTGAGATCGAGAACCACGAGAAATACGAGGTTGAAAAGATACTGGATTCACGACGAAGGTGGGGCAAGTTAGAGTATCTTGTTCATTGGTGCGGCTACGACATTAATGAGCGAACGTGGGAGCCAGCTGAAAATCTCGCTAATGCACCGCAAAAGGTATAGGAGTTTCATCAACAACATCCTCATAAACCTAAGTCGGTTCGACAATAGCTTCCTTCTGAAGCTTGCTCACCTAAGAATATAAGAAAGGGAGAGAGCACCACCAAAATTCGTAGTTGATGTAGTTATTTTCTCCAAGATAAAATAGAATTTTTTCAGTAGCCATAGTTTGGACTTCTGATATGGAGAGCCAAGAGATAGATACTATGCCAGTCAGATTATCTCAACCGACTAGCTCACGAAGGCGACCCCGAGATGAAGAACCACCTACACCACGACGACGACGGAGGATACCGAATAACCTATCACTGTGATTGTATTTGAGTCCGAGCGTGCTTACGATGGTCAGCTAGAAGGCGTGTTTGCAAGACAATTTCATAATGAGGATACGGAAGTTCATGCTTGATCAGAAGTTGAAGGAGTGGGCTACTACCATTGGCTTCAAGGGCCGATAAACCACTTGCCTCGTGAACAACAGTTGTTCATAGCAGACATTATGCGACAGATCTACATTTTCTTGCATTGGTACTGATCAACAACATTGCTTCTCAGAGACCTCAAAGCTAAAGGAGGAGGTGATGTTAGGGACATAATCCTTAGAACCTTCTAGAGACAAGTTTCTAGAACCTTCTAGAGATAAGTTTCTAGAACCTTCTAGAAGCAAGTCTCTGGAATCTTCTAGAAGCTTCTTAGTTGGTAGAAGATATTAGGGACATAGTCCTTAGAACCTTCTAGAGATAAGTTTCTAGAACCTTCTAGAAGCAAGTCTCTGGAACCGTCTAGAAGCTTCCTAGTTGGTAGAAGTTGCTTGAGAAGCTTCCTAAATAGAAGTATATATTGGAATCGAGGCTGCAGAGTTCTTCAGTCTCAACAACACATCTCTTGGAGCTCTAGCTCACCTCTTTGGTGTTGTTCTCATCTAATTAATCTAGTTCTTGCGAGTTCTTCTTGAACTTCTTGTTAGATCTTGAGTCTATATTTTTGTGTCCATGACATAAAGTAAGTGCTTCTTAGAGGTTAAGAAAGTGAACCGTCATTATGCACTTTACTTGAAGTTGGTCATTGTCCATTGCTTTGTCTTCATCATGAGCTTGCTAATACTAACTTGTGAAGGTACTTTTGTAAGCTTAAATTTAATTTTGGCCCACTGAGCAAAAGCCATTTATGAAATCAAAGGCTATGCATTCTTTTGTTTACAGATCTGCAATTATTGGGCATTGGTGATACATAACATTATATGCACTGATAAGGTGTTGGACATGGAGGGAGAAATGCATTAGGCAAGTGACAAATATATACTTAAATAAATTCATGATTTTAGCTATCTTGGTAAGTTTTAACCTCCTATAAGTTATATTTCAAAGGGTGAACCAATCCTATAACTTAACAGAGGTAATATTGTATATGTATTTATATATATATATATATATATATAGATATAAACGACAACAATAACAATAATAACAACAAAGGACTATAAAACATCATTTTATATCTTTTTAGTAAGTATGTATAATATGTTAATAATATTATCAAATAATGTATAATTATATGTTCAAATGTAATTATATCCATGTTTATATTTTTTTTGTATGATTTATTTTATATTAATCATAATGATTATTTTTAAAATATTATAAAATAAATGAATTTCTTATATTTGAATAATACATACATACACATTTGATTTTAAAATACAGTACAAAAATCCAAAACAAACCATCTGCATCCATGTAATGTATTACTGTTCAAATAATCTGACTATTCTATACTTGCAAACAAAAAATTTATTTATCAACTATTATGTTCCTTTCTTTTCTCTCTGTTTCCTTGAGCTGTATAACTACTAATGCAAATCACTTCTTAACTGAGAAGAAAAACTAATTAATTGATTAATTAAAATAAAAATGCATGCTTACTGCCGTTATGTGACTCCATGAGTCTTAGCATGTTCATCAGAAACTCCATTTGCACAAATTCAGCAACAATGGTCTCCAATAGCTCCTACGTGGAAACATCACTGCAGTGAACACAATTGAAGTGGGTTGTCGAAGCTGCCCCTGGTTGCAATTGATATTTACTCAGTGCATAGACCACAAAGAGCCAAAGTCTAACTAGCTAGATAGCCATCAATTGATGACCCATCAGACAGATTAAATATTTCCAACATAAAAATCATGAAAGAAATGACAATAGATGCTGAGAGCACTACACGCCAAGCAGAGCCACATCTGCAAATGTAAAGGTCCCCCCCCCCCCCTTCAAGGGCACCCAGGAATGTAACCCCAGAGCACATCGCTCAGCCCCCGAGATCTGGCGTCGGAGACGGCGCATGATCGATGAAGGCAGAACTAGAGGCACAGTCCCGATCGGAGACGATCATTCGACAGATGCGCCGCACTAGACGCCGATCCGATCAACTAGCCAGCTTCGCAGTTGCGCGCCGTGGCAAGGTTTGAATTAAATGCAAAATAGTGATCACTGGACCAGTGCCCGCTATCTAGCAATGCGGATGGGGCCCTGAAATAGAGCAGTGCCACCTGCGGATGCACTGGGTGGGGGCATATTCTCGGACTCGGTGGTTTCGGCTGGCAAGGGCTGCTTTTCCCTCCCTCGCAGGAGGTGCTCATGTAGACCTCGCGAGATGGTCAGTCGGGAGTTTGCACAGCCTCCGCCACCGGTCTGAGATCCGTCGTAGAGAATGTCAGGGGATGGTGCCTGATCGACTTGCTGGATTGGGTTCCGTAGGCCACACGGGGTGTGATCCAGCGAGGACTCTGAAGTTGACCCCGTTCTGCATTACTGAGCGATTCGATATTCGATCTCAGGTGAGTTCGGAGAGAGAGGTTTGTGAGGTTTATGAGTATGAGTGGCGTTTCGAGATAGATATTGTTGAGGTGGCGGTGGGCAAGATGTGTGTTGGCGCCGTATATCATCTTCGAAATATGTGATATTCTTTACCCTCATTCAAGAGAACGAACTATATGGTTGCAGTGTTGGATGAGTGGACATAATGATTCAGTCTAGACATTGAAGCATCAGACGACACATTCCTGTCGCATTCGTACGACAGTGGGATACATTTCACAAGGTTTAGGGTTCATGAAACGTGGTGTCTTCTAGATATCTCTACTTGTTTTTGTGTACCTGTGTGTACTTCTGCGATTGTTTCTTGTTTCGCACACGAAACAAGGGAAATGTCGCAATCCATTCTTCCGAGTAATTAAACGAAGTGAATGACGGCGACCGGCTTTCCTCTGACTAGATTTTCTACAAGCGACAAGATCGTATACGTAGCCTAAACCAGGAGTCGCTGCGAAATACCAAAAGTTATGGCACAGGAGGTGAAGGTCTCTGTCAGCGATGACCACACCCTTAAGCCATTGCAATCCGACGGCGAAGACGCTGATTTCCCTGAGTTCGAGTTCCCAGTAGGAGATGGCGGCGATGACGACATATCCAGTCCGAATTTGGAAGGGATTTCAGCAGTGTCAAACAAATCTGTTGACATGTCCCCAAAGAAAATGCCACCAGCTCTCCGTGAAGAAGCCACTGAAACGTTGCTGGCTCGGGTGAGTGTCAGGCTTTCGGAGGAAGTAGCTCAGCCGGAAGTTAGTAAGCATGTCGTTACAGAAATGTCGAAGCCAGCCAGTGTTCTACTTGAAGGCCCGAAGCGGAAGGTGTTACAGTCTAACCCCTCCTTCAAGAGCTTGGTGAACATTTTGGGCGAACGAACAGCCTCGCCGACGAGGTTAGATAGCCTGAAATTAGGGAAGAAGCATCGTGAGAATGGAGAGTTGAAGAATGAAACTGAGGTCGATTCTGAGGAGGGGAAGTTGACTGCACCCGCGCATATTAAGAGGTTAAGTCTCGTGTCGAGGGCGACCCAGACTCAATCGACTGGTGGAAAGACGAAGCTGGCGAATGAGCTGAGTGTGAATGCACTTGTGGAAAAGTTTTCCAGGAACAAGTTGTTGGAGGAGGCTGCTCGCGCACTTTCGGGAACTTCAACGCCTAGAAATTTGTCTGAGAGACGAACTATGGCTGATCGATCTAGGTCGCCTGTCCCTCGTCATCTCCAAGATAACGGCAATAGTGACGGAAAACGGGCTCTCTCACCTGTACCAGGCAACACCGCTAATGCGAAGAATCTCTTATGTCCACGGCGCTCGGTTACTACAGGTTCGACCCGCACTGTCTCTGATCGATCAGTCTCACCCATTCCGCGTGCTTCGTCTTGGAAGGATTCGGTTTATGGAGACGTCCCCAAGGAAAAGCGACCGAATTTCTCGGCACCAAGTCCACCAACGCCTCCTCCGCGGTTTCTCACTCCCACTCGAGCTGCGGCTCTGAAAGCTGTGAAGCCACCTGCTACGCCCAACCATGCTTCTTCGAAAGGCTCTTTGCACACAGCGTTTGGCATCACGACGCCAGCTAAAGAGATTCAGAAGAAAAACCTTGCGTCTTCGAAGCCGGATCACCCCAAGGCCACTGTCACTGAACCTGCAGGCTTTAATTTCAGGACAGACCAGAGAGCGGAGCGACGGAAGGACTACAATGCCAAGGTCGAGGAGAGGCTGAAGCTCAAGGAGGCGGAACGGAAACGACAAGAGCAGAAAGCACAAGAGGAGAAGGAAGCACAGTTAAGGGAGTTACGGAAGAGCTTGACTTACAAAGCGAACCCAGTGCCAAGGTTTTATCAGGAGCCCGCTCCTATCCCACCTGAGATTCGCAAACCGGCGCCCACTAGGGCGAAATCACCGAATTTTACTGCACCTCGACGGAGGGAGAGCTGCCCGGGATCTACTGTGAGCGAGAGCGGCAGGACGAGTCCGCTTCGGAGCTCCAGCCGGCTGCTCAGGTGCGCATCTCTAGAGAGCAATTCCGGCCACTCGGGGTATTATGCACAGAGTAAGCCGGCACCCAAGAAGCAGCCTTTCAGACCAGTCTAAAGCTGTCGCCAAATTGCTACTGACAAGCATGTTTGTTTCTGGAAAATCTCTCAAACAGATCGGGAGTTTCAAGCACTGGAAACGAGGTAATTGAGCTTAAAAATCAAGCTTCTCAATCAGGATTTCTCAGTCCTTGTTGAATTACATCCACAGTACCGAGCGAGAGGCAGCAATAAACTCGCGGGCGCTTTTGGAGGTGGAGAAAGAATTCTTTTTGCATCTCGCCGTTGTGATTATTTCTGGCCTAAGTTTCATCAAAGGACACTACGCCCATGGCGTGAAAGGGTTAGCGGCACATCTTGACACCACCAACAATGTCTTGTCAGCCCAAGCTTTACCATCAATTCTTTTTCTGCCTCTGCAAATGATAATGCGACTGTCAGTCAAGGTAGAAGATACGACGATGACCTCTAGCCCCACCAGTTTGCGATCGACACCATTTCCCGACATGTAGACATCGATAGAGGGAACGTAGCAGTGAAAGCACTATCAGAGTCGCGGTCTTTCTATACGACCAATCGACCTATAGTTGCAGTTTTTTCTGGTTCCGATCCTGTGGTAACTGCGTGTGAATTCAGTCCTGGACAATACAGAGAGCTCACGATGGCCAATTTCATGAGTTTATTTTCAACAGAGAAAGATTAGAGATTATGTTGTTGATCAATGAACTATTTTCATTTGTTGTAAAGTGCATCAATATACTGATATCAATTAGATGAATGAAAATCATTGAACTAATTTTGTGCATAGTTATGTGAAAGCGAGACCCTTTACCAAAACCTAGATCATACTTCTCCAGCCCATTGCATCAGCACTTACCACATTTGATGTCCTGCCAAACTACAGCAATGTCATTCCAGTCGTATTTCCAATTCCAATCAGGGTGTGAACACAGTTAACAACACCCCGTGCATTATGAACTACTCTACACTTCCTTTGAACAGCTACAAAATCTCTTAACAATGAAGTTGGATTTCAAATCTCATAAGTTACAAAAAATATACAAATGATGGCAGAATATCGTGCATCAGACACAACGGCGTTAATAGCCACAATGCTTTCACCTTGATGTGGCCCTAAATCATGGGTCACATTGAAAAACTTTAGTAGGAAAAGAGCTCAACAGTTTTCTGCACAATAGAATGCTGTTAACCAAGCTGTTCAAGCAAGCTCCCTACTAACCACAGCTGTTAACTACTTGTTACAGGATCAATAACTTTCCTAAAAGACAGACTAACTTGAGTCAATTTTCCTTCACAGTTCGTTAATGAGCAGATCACTACTAGACTATCGAACGGATGAATACTAGGAGCGAGAAAAGAAGTCATTAAGCGCAAGATTTGCATCTCCATGTGGAACAACGTCTTCGGGCTCAGGCATGAATAAGCTTGTTTGGCTCAGCTTCGCTTCCATAACTAACTCATTTGAGGTGCTATCAAATTGAAGATGAGCACCATGGGCCCTCAACCACTCCTCGCATTCCTCGAGCCCTTCGCTTTCTCCTTCTGAACTCGACTCAGTGGTAAAGCCTAGAGACCGAGCCACAGATGAGACGGGAATAGTGGGACGATAAGAGCGTGACATACATTTCACAGCTTCAAACCGCATCTTCTCGGTATGACTGTCCATCAAGCAAGGGCTCAGAACTGGAGCTGTTCTATACAGGCGAAAGAAAGTCGTGTAGTTGCCGACTGCCACTGCATGACGTACTTCCAGAGCATGCTTTACTACCTCGTCTCTCCTTCCTTCATCTGTCAACTTCGCCATGGCAGATAAAAGATCTCTGCTATTGCCACGGTTGAACAAAATGTACAACAAGCTGTAAGCAGCAAACTCATTACTACAACCTTTAATGCCTTCTCCATACAGGAACTTGAGTTGTGTCTGACACTGGTTGTATTCAGGTAAGTCACCGGCCTCCAAAGCCATGCGAGCATGTGTTTCATATACCTGAACTGTAAATTCGTCTCGAATCCGCTGTACAGTAAGATCTTGCCGTATTGACTTTAACTGATCACATTTAAACAGGTAACTCTTGGTTGTACTTTTAACCATCTCTAATGCTCTTTTCAAAACATTCTCCGGTCTCACTGTGTTGGGATCAGGCGCAGAAGTGAGCCGAAGATACCGCTTCTCAACCTCTTGACATGTTCCTCGTATAGTCAAAGAATCCCAATCAATATCCTCAACAGCCCGTCCATTTTGCCCATCCCCAGATCTTAGAGCTAAGTGCAGAGCCGTGGCTCTTCGTGCACTCGCACTTTCTGCCGCATGCCCCTTCCCTCCTCGTCCAGATCCCTTTCCTCTGCCAGAATCCTTACCTCGATCAAAACGTTTGAACCGACTTTGCCGTCTTTCCTTCTCTTCTGGAGTATCAGCCGTAGACAAAGATCCAAGATGCACCCCATGCCCATGCTCCTCATCACTATCGCTTGAAAGATTCTCACCTCCTTTTGAGGACAAAACCCCTTTGCGAAGCCTTTTCAAGCCCCTTTTAGACACATTCTTCAAGTGCTCACTATCTGTGATACTCTTACTCCATGAATCCTCGCGCTTTTCCCATTTGGAGTGAGACTGGAAACTGTCCTTCTCTTTAGAAATGTCATGACCACCTTCTCTAAAAATACCGTGAAAACCATGAGTTCGTCCTGGTTTACCATCCGAGTCCTCCGCAGCAGGAGGCTCCCAACGACTTTTCAAGCGCCTAGGAGGGCTCCACTCCGATTTCGTCGAGTTATTCTGTTGCAGCGGTGTTTCCTTCTTAACGGATGAAGATGATGGGGGCGGTATTTGAAAAAGTGGCTCCGTATCCCAATCCCTTGTGAATAAGGTTCCATCCTTAGAAGCCATTGTGATCATATCCTTCATTATCTCCTGGCAAGCTGCTTTCTGCGACTCATCTTTGCAACGTGACAGAGCTCTTTCAACATAGGCACGCAATGACGAGGGAAACCTTCCAGGCTGTAACGTGGCATCAGCGACGGCATCAGTAGAAACACTAGAAGAAGGTTGCTTGGCAGGAACGCTTACATAAGCTGGCTTTTGCATCTCTTTTCCCGACCCCAAACCACCGACATTAGCCGTAATCCGTGGATTGGTTACGATGTGCAGCTTAGCTGATCTACTTTGATGTTGCAGAGGGGTGTGAGAGGCCTGAGATTGTTGTTGCTGATGTTGATTTGCAACTGTTCTTGAATGCTTCGCTAAGGCCGGAAACTGACTTTGGTTGAAATGATCGCTTGGAGAAGTCTGACTAGAAATAGCATTCCAAGGAGTTTGAGATATCTGGTTGGAATTAGCATTCCAACGAGTGCCTACTGTATGAGCTTCAGTCGTTGTTGAACCCTGAGAAGATAGAGATGCAGCATATGACGCTGCAGCAGCTTGCCAAGAAGGTTGCGGTGCCGCAGTTCCGGGAGGCGGCGGTTGCTGCCCAGCTGGAGCGGCAACAACGCTGGCATATGACGGAGCTGACACCAGGGTGGTAGGAACACTGGAAACTGCTTGAGGAGCGACATTGCTCTCGGTGTCGGCTTGGGGAACGGGTTGTGGTGCGGCTTGCAAACTCGCGTAGTACTCAGCCCACTGATGCGAGTAATCTTGTGCATACTGCGCACTGTCTTCCAGCTGCGTATTGATATCACCAAAGACAGTGTTGGTATTCACATTTGCGGCTGCATAACCTGCATAGTTGTATTGCACCTGTTTAGGATCGCTCCAGGAGGCCTGCACTTGTTCATCCTCACCTCGATACCCAGTACTTTGATAACCATTAGGATCATAGTAGTTGGTGGTGTTTGAGTACGAGGCTACATCCCTGTGCTGATACTGATTTGGAGGCGCGTAAGGTGCACCAGCATTGCTATACATTGCAGCATTCTGGGGATATGATTCCACTCCCTGCTTCTGAAAAGCATTATTATTATATCCCTGATAATTGTATGCATTTTGATCAGGTATGTAATTATACCCAGCATATCCTTGCGCAAATGACTGTGAACCATTTGATGTCTGAGGATGAGCAAAGTTATTAGCTTGTTGCACTTCCCCTGTTACATAGCTGGAATACTCTTGACCCTGTTGTGATTGATGATTGTAGTTGTTGTAGCCAGCGTACGCAGTGTCCGCAGCACCATTTGCTCCCCCTTGGTCGCTTCCCGGCCAGGTCGGAGTAGTCGCCAAGCTCGGTGGTAATGGTGCCTGCGGCGGTGGCATTGCGGGTAGTGGAGGAGCAGCCATACCTTCTTGAACAGCCTGCCCTCTATCCTCCGGCTGTTGGGACGGATACCCGTAACCATATCCATATCCATACCCATACTGTTGCTGCTGGGCCGCTGGATCGTAGTGTTGACCACCCCATGCATTTCCAGGATCGGGATAGAAGTTTCTCCTGTTGTCATACTCATCTCCTACTCCTGCCATTAATAAACAGGATTCAACTCAATGCCGCAATGGTGGTGACCTGCTGTGGCCCATCCTCAGCATCACGGGGGTCAAACTAATCTGCACACCCGCACCGAAGTAGAAGCTCAGGAAGAAAAGCGATAGGTGTCCCTTACTAGTCTCAGCGACATACACACACACACACCAATATATATATATATATATATATATATATATATATATGAATATTTATATCTTTAGCCCTCTGGATTAGGGTTACAAGAAAGAAGCACGATACCTAATCACTACTCGCTGCAACCGACTCTGTTCGCCAGCTCAACTGCAAATCCACTTCCCACAACCCGGCTAAAGAAACCCCTATCAATGCCGCTCCATCGAAGCTGCCTCCATGGCTGAGCGCAAAAGCAGCTCAACACAACCCCCTTCAAATCTAAAAATCATAACTCCAATCTGAAAATTTTCTCTTACATTTTCGCTCGCTAATTTATCCCAAAGAAATGGCAGAAGGTGAAAGCCTTTCTCAAAGACGGCGCCAGTCTCAAAAATACCCCTCTCCACCACACCAACACTACATTCCTCAATTTCATAGCTTCGATGCAGGATTTCTACTCGCATCAATTCCCGCTGATCTCCTTAAGAGAAATCCCACCTCACGACAATCAAATCTCATAGCAATTTATGGCGTCCGGAAACTACCAAAAAGAAAAAGAAAAAGAAAAAAGGACACGTAATCTCTACTCCTTCAATGTCAAAGCACTCATCCAACTCCACAACCTCCCATCCGAAACCTTTTCAATCTAAAATTCTTTAGACCCCAAATCCGTGAACTAAGAAATCCCGTGCCATCAAAGCCCCTAACCCTAGAGTCCAGGGCCATCAAACCACTGTACTGAACTATCCACACGCACAGCCCGAATGTCCAGAATAAGAAACTTAAAAAAGTGAAAAAAATAAATAAAAACTCAAAGAACGAACGCGAACTCACCCAGTGAACACCAGAAATGGTGAGGAGAGCTGCAGAATTGAGGCGCCAGCAGGGGGCCAGAGACACATCGAGCACGGAGCTGGAACCCTAACCCAAGCTCGGCAAGCCAAACCAAACGGAAGCGAAAACGTTTCCTCAGTGCAGACAGAGTGATAAGGATCCATGGCCATGGGGCGAGGAAGAAGAGGGCTGGTGGCCGCGGAAGAGGAGGGCCGGTGGCAGGGTCGCCTTCTGTGCGCACACACACACATACGCTCTGCATTGTTTTCATGTCGCGTGGATACCTCTTCTGCAGAGGACGGGGAACGGTCACTGGGGTGTCTAGGGAATCTCATGTGCTCATTCATTATTACTGTAAAAGAATGCCGGTCCATCTGCCCCGTCAGCATTTACGATCCTGAATTTTGGAATATTACTCATGACTTCCTCGATTTAACGCGGGTCACACTATCTGGCTCAAGCGGAATGGCATTTGTTCTTACAATATCATAAGTGAAACACTTTGTATCATAAAAAATAAAAAAATAAAAAATAATATTGAAAGGGTGAGCTTAAAATACTGTTCATGACACGTGAATTTATGAATATATGAAGGCATGAAGCTCTACACATAAAGTATTTCGACTGGATTGATTATGTTTGCAAAAAGAAAGATGGGGAGGGAGTGTGTGCTGACGACGCTTTCTGAAGGGTTAGCATACACAAACTGACGGAACAATCTGCGCGATGATGACGGCTGTGGGATTGGAACCCACGCCCTTTCATACAGCAGCCGTTATCCATCTCCTGAGACCGCTCGGCCAAACCGTCGAGAGCTACTGGGATAAACAGTTCTCCACAACGTTATAATTTGAATTTATTTTATGAATCCATGTCATGTAATGGCAACAAAAATGCAAACATTTATCATTATTAAAGACTGTTAAAAGATTCGTCATATTTTAAAGTAAAATCTTGAAATCAGGAGAAAACACATGAAGATATATGATTCTTTATTTTATTTTTAATTCAAAACTAATTTGTGTGTGTATATATATATATATATATATATATATATATGCATCCATATATTAGTGGAAATCCATTTGTTGACTACAAAAAAGTTGCAAAAGTTTAATTTTTTCTTGTTAAGTCAAAAATTGACTATTTCTAAAGAAATGTTGACAAAAACTATATATATTACAATAGAACCATGTTTGTTTTTTCACTATAATTGGCAAAGACAATTTTTATTTCCTACAGCTTAAATAGCTAAATTAAAAGAACTTTGGGATAAATCATATTTATGGTAGTATTTATATCTTTATTATTTTTAGAATATATGATCTTGATCATATTTAGAGAAGTGTATTGTGAAATGACATTATGCAATTGACTATGTGTAAATATAAGGACTCTAAGATCTATTCCTATGTTCTTCAATAATTTTACTTGAGATTTGTTAATAATCATTGCAAATCCCACCATTATTAGAAACTAACTTTGTTACAACTTGAACAACATCTTGACAAAGAATGGGCATAATGCAATCCTTTGGAATAACAAACCAATTACCTCTCATAGTCTCCAAATAATAATCTTACATCTATTACTCAATCAATCAGCTATGTAATGACCATGCATGACCAATTGCAAAGTCTTTGACATGGATCAATGTTTTGTAATAATATAATAAGCCATTCAATCTTTAGCTTGAAGTTAAATGGAAGCAATCTAGATAGACTTATCCTATTCAAATACTTTGTTGGATAACAATTACCATTGTCAGCACCATTTAGTGAAAACTCATGCCATTGAGCACAAAAAAGCTATAAAATATTAATTTGTTAATTGCTAAGTCAAAAATTGACCACTTCTAAAGAAAAATTGATCAAGAAAAAAAACAAAACAAAAATAAAATAATATATATATATATATAAAATAAAAAAGCCATTAATATTTCTTTAATAATTTACAAAAAATATACTAATATTTTTAGTTTTTAATTGATAAATTTAAATATATGTTACATTTTATTTTTAAAAAATTAAAAAAAAAATAAAAAAACAAGAATAAAAACAATGTGTTTCATTATTTGTGATTTATCAATTTAAATAGGAACAATTATTGGCAAGTATATTTTTATATATTCTTAAAAAATGAAAGTAATTTGATTTATTACTCAATAAGTACTTCAATTAGATTTTTAAATTTATCCAGTTATATATTTAAACCATTTAAAATTATACTAGTAACAAATTCCACAAAATTCTTAACTAACATTTAATTAATCGTGATTCAAATTCTATATAATTTCAAATTATCATATTTTATAAATACATTATAACTAAATTAAAAAACATAGTTATTATGAACTGATTATTACTTGTTTCAAAATGAAGAGTGCAAGTCACCAATGGTATTTCAAGCATTTAAAATGGAAAGAAGTTCAAAGTGTTTTTTATGAGCTTAATTTTCTCATTTTAATTTTCAAAAAAAAAATTACCTTTAAAACTCAAATCAGTAATAATAATAATAGTTCATGAATTATATATATATTTATATATATATATATATATATATATATATCAACATTAGAAAATGCAAATATAACTGAATAATTTGGCGAATTTCAAACACAGTGAAATACTATTAAAGATTACTAAATATATTAGCTAGGAAGTATAAATGACTGGTATCTTTACTGGTTCAAATTATCATTAATACAATCGTAATTGGTAGACTTTTGACATCCATTATCCAATTAACAACTTGCTGCATATGGTTGCAAACAAACAGATAATTGGGTTGACATTATTAATACTTACAATAATTATTTTTTCCCTCTATTATAGATTGTAATAATAAGGGATATATGATACATCTGCAACATCTACATTTCACAAAAATATCATGGATATTCCTTGATTTGTGCAACAATAAACAATCTTAAAACACTTGTGACTATTTTACAACTCAATGTTTCAAGCAATAATAATATTATTATATTTAGAATGGTATGCAACACAATTGCGCTCTAATCGCTTTCTACCAGGTAAGCATTCAAAATAAGCGTTTCCATTTGTGTCGTTAGGAAATGACGGCTGTGGGATTTAAACCCACGCCCTCTCGAACTGGAGCCTAAATCCAGCGCCTTAGACCGCTCGGCCAAACCGTCGCAAGTTGGGAGATGTGAAAGCATAACAGTACTCAGAATTCAACAATTATTTTTTGAATCGATGTCATGCAGTGGCAGTGGCAACAAAAATGCAAACACTTATCAATAAAGACAATAAAGATTCCATATCATTAAAACGGATGATTCACTTGTTGAAGCTTTGAAAATGGTATGACTTGCATTACAACATACACTTTCAGGCCAGGATGAAGAAGGAATAAAACTAGCACTACAACTACTACTACATGCAAATGTGAAGAAAAATTGGAACGGAGTGGATACCTGTCGGTGAAGAAGGGTCGGTGAAGAAGCGCTTTGCTTTCTTTCAGAACTGGGTTGTACTAACATGGCCGCTGTCATCGTCAGGAAGAGGACGCTGCTGTTTCCATTCACCAAGCGAAAGCAAGTTTCGAGACTACACAGTCGATTGTAATTCAGTATTAAGTCTATACAGATTGTACCCAAAAGCTGCAATGTATCATATCGAAGCTTCTGTATAAGTTGTGCTTACAAAAAGAAAATCTTCGCGACTTTTATGGCCTCGGATCAGTTGGGCAGGTCAGAGTTGAAGCTCGATTTCTCTGAACGGTTATGCACGATCAACCACAACACATTGTTTGCGAGGATGTGAGGGGTTTAAAAGAGCGGCTTGTTGGTCTCCACAAAGCTCTAGACATCGTACTCTATCAAAACTTTCAGAAAGATGTGTGAGTGATGAAGATGGTTGGATATAATATGACAAGTAGCACAGAAGGTGCTTTGTTTTCCAGTTTCAATAAAAGTATGGCAATCGCAAATGCTGTTATTGCATTCAGATCTAGTGTACACCATACCTTCTCGAATGTCATACAAAATTGTTCATGAGTCCAGACACTCAACCACGATTTTCTATACCCAGTGGTATCTTGTAGAGAGGAAATCAATAATTACGTCTTTCACTTAACACAAAGTAATTCTTCGATACGCAGCCTTGCTCTCAGCATTTATTAAACCCACTCAGTCTTCACTTTTGCCCAACGCGAGCTTCAGATCCCACTTCTGACACTTTACTTGTTTCGGAGACTTATGAGCTGATCAACCACGCTGGAATCTGCCAAGGTGCTGATATCCCCCACTTGATCCAATTCGTTGCTCGCAATCTTTCGCAATATTCTGCGCATGATTTTCCCACTCCTTGTCTTGGGCAGTCCTGGAGCCCAATGGACTACATCAGGTGCTGCGAACGCTCCAATCTGTCAACAAGGCATTTCGCAGGAATTAAAATGGTGATATGGACTTGTATATTCGGTTGGAAACGGCAAGTTGTCGAGGCATGTAAGCTAGTTCGGCTGGTTTTTATATTGAGCATGTATTACCTGTGATCTAACGGAGTTGATGAGAGCTTTGCGAAGATCATTGCTGTACTCTACGCCTTCTAGAAGTGTCACAAATGCGTAAATACCTTGACCTTTCACCTGTATCCAAAATGAAAATCCAGTAATATAAGTAAAAGTGTATGGACATTAATCTTACTGCGCGGAGGGAACATAGCTGCCTCTTCCCAATCAAAGAGAACTGTTAAAGATCTAAACGTGCACCTCTATTTGCGAATTTGTACCTCGTGATCGAACCCAACAACTGCCGCTTCAGCGCACTGGGGATGCGAAACAAGAGCAGACTCTACCTCGGCTGTACCAATGCGGTGCCCACTGTACAATTGCATTCACAAATTTTGAGACGTCCAGAATAATATCAAGGCATAAAAGCGAAATTGATCGGTCAAAATTCACCATGATGTGTTCAATATGACTCTTCCGAACTCCAACAAAGATGAGAGATCCAATGCAAACTTGCACAAAAGAAAAAAATGAGCTCTAATGAACGCGGGTAAAGCGTCACTGACCTAACATTGATGACATCGTCGACTCGTCCTGTCAACCAATAGTAACCATCTTTATCTCTACACGCGAAAGCTTCGAACCACATTAGAACCCACTCGCTGAATGTCTTATCAGAAAGAACTGGTTAGTATCTTGTAAAAACATGTCAAATATTTAGAAGCGGTTCGTTTAATCTGTTCTTAGTTGGCATCAAGGCCGACATCACTGACTTGAAGATTGGATGCCTCCCAAAAATGATGGAATCTCATCTATGAAGATCACAAAATAAAACAGGAAGATTCTAACCTGCGGCATCCATCACCACTGAAGTAGAATCCTTTAAAAGGAGCAAAATATGTGGTTTCATATCGGTCGTGGTCTCCTTGTAGAGTTCTCATCATGCCAGGCCAGGCCGCCTTGATACACAAGTAACCACTACATTCTCCAGACTGTTCTTGAGCATTATCGTCTACTACAGCAGGCTGCAGGTGAAAGCGAAAGCATGCCAACAGATCAGTGAATGAAATGATCTACATTAAATTCTACAAGTTTTTCCTCATTACAATATACCAATTGAATTATTCATTATGTCCTTACCTGTAGTCTAATAATCGCCGTAAGTTTTTGCATTCTAGGCAAAAAATTCCTTCTAAAATTTAAGTATCATAGAACGGCATTCTTCTGCTCTCAGACATGCAGATTTTGGTTCAAGACATAGTATTACGCTTGTTAAAAATAACAAATTTCAATATCAAGCTGCACATCGCACCTGGACACCAAAGAAGGGTAAGGTAGCAGATCCAGGTTTAAGAGCCCAAGCGCCTGGTTGCGGGGTAATCTGGAAACGACAAAATTCCACAACATCAGCATGTAGACTTTTGACAACGTAGACCAAGAGGGAAGTCCTTTGGCATATTATCAATCAACGTGGAATTAAGTAAGAAATTCTTTGGGTAACAACTCCTCGCAGACAGTTAGTAAATGAAACCAATAAACAGAGGGCTTGACAATGAAGAGAGCCTTTACCATGAAACCCCCCGTCTCTGTTTGCCACCATGTATCAACTATAGGGCAGAGTTTGTCGCCAACGACTTCATGGTACCACTTCCACGCACTGGGATTGATCGGCTCTCCCACAGTCCCAAGCACTCGCAGTGACTTACGAGAGTGCCGTAAAACGGGCTTTCACAACCACGTACCAGATACATATATTAGAACACCAGATGCGTGCATTTCAAACTGTCTCCAATAAACTACTGATAAATTTGGGCCAAGATATTATTCTCCAAACATTTGTAGGACAAAGTTACTAAAATTGAATGTAATGAGGCGCATCTGAGCAATCAGTTCAATTATGTCGGTCGAACAAGCCAGCAGCCACAACACTGCCAAAAATACCTCGTCACCCGACCGCATCAATGAACGAATTGCAGTTGGGGCAGTATAGAAGATGGAAACGTTATATTTGTCTACTATGTCCCAGCAGCGACCTGCATCTGGATAGTTGGGGACCTGTGCACACCGTGGTACCAATGCTCAGAAAGCATCCATGTAAGCACTGAATATCGATTTCTCCATACAAAAAAATGTGATTCACAGTGAACGACGTTTCGAAACAGATCACAAAGAAAGGGTCTCTAGATTGGCAAGAAGAACTCTACGAACAAACAACAGATGCTGCTTACCCCTTCAAAGACAACCATGCTAGCACCGTTGAGAAGAGGGCCATATGTCAGGTAGCTGTGACCAGTAATCCACCCACAGTCTGCTGTGCACCTGCACGAACATCCACAAGTATGCGGAATGTAAATTTCTGGTATATGACCTCTATGGTATGTGACCTTCAAGGAGAGACTTGAAATAAGAAAATAACTTGGGCGACGCAGTGGTAACATGCCTCCAGCTCAAGGCCACAAAAAACATCAGAGGAGCAAATAAGGGCTCACCAGTAGACGTCATCATCGTGGTAATTAAATGCATACTTGAAGGTTGTAGCCGCATATACCATGTAACCTCCTGTTGTATGCAGCACGCCCTGCCAATGTGAAAGCACTGGTTTCAGGAATTTCGAATTAAGTACAAGAATCAGCAATTCAACAGTAATCCGTGTCTGAGCATAATTTTTGAAGAATCGGGATCCACTCTACGCCTAAAACTTTATCGAGGAAAAGCTGGAAATATGAAGTGCTTTACCTTGGGCTTCCCAGTGCTTCCACTGGTGTATAACAAAAACAGCGTATCTTCTGCGTCAACCCACTCCACATCACATTCTTTTGCATATGATGGCACGATATCCTGATAGGAACATTGGAGAGGTGTCAGTCTTATCCAATTCAAACAACGTCGAAAATTTCAAAATGTTAGCAACACTCGCCTCTCTAACAAAGGATCATCAAAAACACAGAGAACAAGAGGGAAACAGACAAACTCAACCTGCCACCACGAATCACGGCCTTCTGTCCACGCGGTCTCCTCTCTCTTCAATGCAGAACTATTGTCATATGTCAGGCACATACCTGCACGCAAATAATCAAGAAAATTGCAATACGTTTAGAAATAGACCAGTCTTCCAGTAGTTGGTTAATATTGAACGAAATTCTTCAATTTCTGATCAAATAAACTCGGGCTATTCCTTGAAGGTGCCCACCTACAGTGTGACCATCCGCTGATGCACGTGATAATGCATCATCAACAATATCCTTGAGTTTGATAATCTTGGCGCCACGTTTCACCGCACTGCTCGTCAAAATAACGTTTGGCTTGCAATCCAGAATACGCTGATATAAAGATTCTGCGGAGAATCCGGCAAAGACAACCTGCACAAAAACATTATCTTAGTGGCCGGACTCGAACAGCTCTCCAAAGACATCAATCTAGTTTCAAAAATAGAAGTGGCCTCTTGGGGAAGCAAAGTGACTCATAACTGCTATCGAATGTACACATCCGAACGTGGGGAGAACTTTGCGTCAATGATGTGGGCTTACAGAATGAACAGCTCCAATTCGAGCACAGGCAAGCATGGCGATTGGCAGTTCTGCCAGCATAGGCATGTAGATTGCCACTGCGTCGCCTTTCTTCACACCTTGACTACGCAAATAGTTTGCAAGCTGCAACAACGCACAAAACCCATTGATCGCAAAAGCTTGCTTCGAGAACAAACTTCTTTTTAACCTGAAAGCGTGCAATCAGATATTCTCATGCGCTGGATATGAGACACGACCATAAAGATGTGTTCAGAAAATGCCACCAGCCAATGGGAACCAGCCAATGGGAACCAGCCAATGGGAGCCAAAGAAATCATGAAAAAAAAATCGACGTGAGGACACACCTGGCAAACTTTTTCCAGTACTTCCTTGTATGTCAGAGAAGCATCCACACCGAGGTCGTTACCTTCCCAGTAGAAAGCAACCTTGTCACCGAGGCCTGCTTCTACATGCCTGTCGATGGCATTGTAACAGATGTTGGTTTGTCCACCCTTGAACCACTGTCATGTACCAAACTCATTCATCAAAATCATCCTCTCGGATCATTCCAACGATCAATCAAATTCTTGCAATCGATTATCGATAACCCCAAGAACTAATTGCAAAAACTCACCTCAACAGCAACGCGCCCGTTGCGAACATCAATATTCTCGGTATGCACTTTGCCATCCTTGACGGGCCATCTCTTCTTCCAGAAAAATGTCGATGCAATGTCACCCCAGAAGCCATCGGGGTTCTCCACAGATCGCTTGTACATCTCATCATACTGCACACTCCACCTCAAATACGGCACTCGCGGGATGAGAATCTGACTGGAAGCAGAAAAAATCCTAAATGCCGTAAAAATCATCCGACTCAGAGACGCTTCAAACAAATCTAAACTTACAACTGACGGGTTATTAAGCACTCGCTAACAATTGTGGCGTCATGAGTCCACAATTTAACCATCTTTGACAGGGACATTTAAACGCAACATTTCATCCGCCTCTACGCCTGTAATAAAATCGGACAATTCCCATAGGTTGAATCCTAAGCAAGGATTGAGGATAGCACCGATTCAACCTCACAGAATCATCAAATTCTCAATCCAACCAACAATAAGCTCTCTCTCTCTCTCTCTCTCTCTCTCTCTCTCTCTCTCTCTCTATCTATCTATCTATCTATCTATCTAGCTGTCTCTGTCTCTGTCTCTTATGAGAAGCGAACCCACACAACCGGTCGATCAGTTTTCATATCAACGTCAACAGGACCCTCATGCAACATCAAGCCTTAACCAAACTAGCTCAATTGCACCACTCCATCAATCCCACTCAGATTCCTTCCCTCCTTCACACACTACGCAAGGCGATCCAGGCCCTTACTTGTGCCCGGGACGCCACCAACGCCGTCGCCTGAAACTCCTCGCTCGGTGCCACAAGCTCTTCCTCCTGACCGGCCACAACAGCAGCCTCTCCACTCACAGCGCCTGGCACGAATTTCGCCCCCACCGGCGAGCTCAAGACGTGGGCTCCCGGCCTGACGCTCCTCACCTCATGACCTGGAGCCATGGTCAAAACCCGACTCGAATGCACACCACCACGGAAACCCACCTCTGAAACTACACGCAAACTTCCAGAAATTGGACCACACCACCTCCCAGAGGCACCACTCGTCCAATTATGTGCCAGAGGGCGCGGGAAGGAATGCACTGCAGGAGGCATGGCCTCAGAATAGGAAAGCCCGAGGGGCTTGTCGACTCTGACACCGTGATTGAGTGTCCAACCACCAACACCGTATGTGTACTCTCCGCACTGCTATAATTGCAACGATGATGAGCTCGGGACAGGAGAATCGTCTGCAGCAGCTAAAGCGCCTAAAGAAAGTTTGGTGAAGAACATGTGGGGTAAGGTTCTGTATAAGATGCTCTCTCTCTCTGTGCGCGCGCGCGTGTGTGTGTGTTCTTGTTGTTCTTGTTAACAAAGAAATCAAGGTGACAAAGAGTCAAGGATGATGGCGAGGTCACGGCATCACGACGATAGCACCGTGAGAGCAGATGAGACAGCAGTGCGGCAATTGGCCACATGGGGTGTTCACCACGGTTGGGATCCCCTTTCACCGCTATGCAGAGTTCAGTCAGGTGAGACAACGTCTATTCTTAGCTTCTTACTGCCACTACCACATCCCCACCCACCCACCCTGCCTGCGAATTCACGCCGCACTGCATCCTCACTCACTCTCACTCTCACTCTCTCAAGCATCCCTTGATTCCTGTTCTTCCGCACTCTACCATTGGCCCTGTCTGGAGCAGTGCCGGCACCAGGGCCCCACGAAGTTCTCGCTCTCTCTTTACACTTGTTGCTACTTCCTCTGCTCTTGCACTACTACTCAACTTCCTCATTGTCTACATCTCTAATGCTTCACAGGGTTTCTCTTGGGGTTAGTGTATGTTGTTGTTGCTTAACCTAAGGTTGTCTACTTTTGCATTATTTGAGAATGTATGCTTGAAGATTTCCTTCATTGCCATGTTTTCCAGTATAACTCATGCATTTTTGTGGTTTTTATTGTTGACTTGATAACAATTTGTAAATTTGTGTGTTATTATTTACCTGCAATGTATTGTGGTATATTATGGCCCTTTTTCTTCTTCTTTTTTCGTGCACATGTGTAAATAATTTTATTTTTGAAGCATGCATGAAACTTGGGCTACATTTTATTTTAGTATCTTACAATAAAATGTTAACAAGAAGAAATTTCAAGCTAAATTTGATTTAATTGAATTTTTTCTAGTGGGGCTTTCTACACCTTATATCCATTATTATGCATTATATTCAATGAATTACTTTGAAAGAATTGAACAATTAATAAAGAATGTTTTGTGTTCATTCTTCCATCAAGTTACATGATTCTAATAAAAACTTATTCAAAAGTAAGGTAAAAGAAGAGTTACTTTACTTTTTACTTGCAAATTTATGCAACCTATAATACTATCTAAGACTGTGTTAAAAATGATATTTAAAAGTCTTGTTGTGAAGTAGCATATTATAAATTTACACACTAAGATATTAAATTTCATAAGATAATAATAATAATAATAATAATAATCATTTTGTAAAATTTTAATTTTTTGCTAATGTCAATATGTAAATTCTCTTATACATTGCTTGTTTCTTTTTAGAGTAGAAAAAAGATGAAAATATAAATAGAATTTTGAAATAAATAAAATTATATAAATCTCATAAATCTACACAAATAACTCATAATAATAATAATAATAATAATAATAAGGAGCAACTTATTTGTATAAGTAAAACCATTAAACAAAATCTATAATTTGCAGAGCAAAAGAAATTTAATTCATTGTGATACAAAACCACAAACTGGTTTTTTAACATACATGAGAAAAGAATATAAAATAATAATAACAATAATAATAATGTATTGGTTTAGAAGCTCAAGCATAGATGATGCAAAGGTGTTGAGAAAGTAAATAAAATCTAAAGAAATGAGGGAAGGAACAAATTTACAAAGTAGAGCACAGAAAACTTGGCAACATATTTGAACAAGAAAGAATTGGCCACATTTGTAAGCCTTTCCTGTGTAAACTTGTCCACAGAAACTTGCTAAGAACCAAGTGACACACACCCTTTGGACACTTCTTCTAAAATTTAAATGAGATAGGCATTGCATGCACAAGGTAAAGGAATTTTGAAACCAACCCCTATCCACTTTGCTTTTCAATTGAATACAATAAACGACAACCCATGCCATTCTATTGTCATTGTACTCTACTTCACTCTTCAACTCTTGCTCCTTCTTTCAAACTATGCTGGACTGCTCAAAATTAAGTTATGACTCAAAAAGCAAAAACAATAGCAACAGGAATAAGAAATTGAATCCATGCTCAGGGCTGGAGCTGCTCGGTTTCGCAGGATTGGGCAAAATTCTTCCTCTCACTGGGAAGGCTCTTCGGATCCTCCAGAACAGACATAGTCACACACTTTTTACGCTTATTCGATTATCACCGGTTGTTCGAATGCGTTGAATGCCTTTTTTGCTTCCAATGCATAATGGCATCTCAATCACACTCACACCACCTGAGCCATTGACGCCGACGGCGTCGTGGGATCATGCTCAGGCTGCATGATTGAGCCGCTGATTGCATCCACAGGGGGGACCAAGGAAACAAAACCCTAACAAGAACCTTAGATTGGCTTCGATGTCATCATTTGGTGTTGAGGGAGTTGTCGCGGAATCATGGGTCCGTCGCCGGAGGCGATTCGAAGCGCACCGCACCAGACGATCCTTCCTCTTCGTCTTCGGAAACCCTCCCGAGCGCGGACAGACCAGACTAGACCAAGTCCACGCGAAAACCTCGCGGAAGGTTTGGTCTGGAGGCGCCTGGATTTGGATGAGCAGCGATCTCAGCACAAAGAGGGCTGTTGAGAAGTCACGCCCCATGTCGGAGAGAGACGCGGTGCCCACGATCCCATCCAGCGAGCCCTCACCTCCCAGCGATCACGAGAAAGGTGCTATGTTTTAGGGTTTTATTTTTCTGTGCATGCCATGCATTTTTACCTCGCATCATGGAGGTGTGACGAATGGGATTGGCCCTAACCACAAGATGGGCTCAACCCCACTTTGTGCAATTGCTCAATTGTCCAAATCCACCTACCTGATTGTTGTTTGAATCTTCAATTCTTACAATATAATTCATTGGTTTCATTTTATTGTAATTGTGTAGGGCAGCATTGCAGCATTGCAGCATTGCAAAAGTGTTACAACGTGTTTTGAAGTTATATTGATGGTTTTTCTTTTTCTTTTCCTAGCATTATTGTACCTATTTTTAGATTATGTACTTGATTAAACTTGGTTTCATTTAACTAGTATTTTGTTACTATTGTACAAAGATTTTTTCTTCTTTCATAAAATATATTATTTTATATCTTTTTATAGTACTCTATGGCACTAACTATTGATGTTGATTTGTTCAACCTCTTTCCAAAGAATAATCAATATTAAATATGTTTAACAAAAAAAATCATTAAAGATGATATATTAATTTATTTTTTTATTGTATTTTTTACATTTTAAATTATGGTTTATAGAAGGAAAAAATATAATGTTAATTTGTGTATTTTAAAATTAATTTTGTTGCAATAAATTTATATAAGTATGTTTATCTTGTACTTTGTAAGAAGTTTTCAAATTACATTAATTATCATTGTATAGAATCTAATAGAAGTAGAATTTTTTTTAACTTCGAAATCAAAATCATGATTTATTTTTATTTTATTTTCTTCTATTTTATTATATTCAATTATTTTAGAAAATAATCACATGTTTTTTAAAACATCAAAGTTTTTTTTTCAGAAATTCGATTTTATATTTAAAGAACTTCAAAACATAATAACATTAAAATTTTAGAAAGTACTTAAAGTTCCAAGCTAAAATTTATTTGAACTAGTATGTTATCATATTAAATAGGGGAAATTATAAATATCTCTCTTAAGTATCTTAAATTATTAAGAATATTTCTACATTCTTGATGATATCAAATATATTCCTTGTTGATAGGATATCACCACAAATTAGTAAGTGTATCATTGTATGATGTTCTGCAAAGGAGAAGCTATGAAGCCGAATGTCACGGACAAGAACATGATAAAGACAAATAAACAAGTGAGACTTCTCTCAAAGAAAGATGACAAAATAGAAATAATTTGATATATATATTAAGAAAGAAACTGGAATGGCTATTGCCAAAGGCAAGAAAACTAGAGACCCTTGAAACTAGATTGGAAGCAAGAAAGGAGTTGACAAGAGTGAAGAGGGCTTCACTCTTATCTCTATATATACTATCTTACTAAGGGATACACGGCGACGTTCTATAGGACCTCCAATATGTGTTGACTTTGTAGGAGACATGCCTTGACTTACAAGGTAAGTGTCACGGACCAAAAATACAAACAAGAAATCTAAACAAGAAGTTCAAGAAGAAATGACAAGAACTAGATTATCAGATGAGTACAAGAGCAACGCCAAGAGAATTGAGCTAGAGCTTCAAGAGATGTGTTGTCGAGACTGAAGAACTCTTCAGCCTCGACTCCTATATATACTACTGGCCTATGGTTCTAAGGAAGCGCATCAAGAAGCTTCCCAAGAACTATGAAGCTTCTCGAGCAACTACCCAAGAGCTAGGAAGCTTCTCAAGTAACTTCTTAGAATCTACTAGAATATTCTAAGAATCTTCTAAAGCATTCTAAGGGAATCTTTAGGGAATCTTCAAAGAATCTTTAGGGAATCTTTAAGAATATTCTAAGAGAATATTCAAAGAATCTTCTGGAAGTTTCTAGAGACTTCTTTCTAAAAGGTTCTAGAAACTTGTCTCTAGAAAGGTCTAATGACTATGTCCCTAACATCACCTCCTCCTTTAGCTTCGAGGTCTCCGAGAAGCAATGTTATCGTCAGTCAATACCAACGCAAGAAAATGAAGATCTGTCGCATAACCTCTGCTATGAACTCCAATTGTTGTTCACGAGGCAAGTGATTCAATGGTCCTTGAAGCCAACGGTAGTGGCCCACGCCTTCAACTTCTGACCAAGCATGAACCTCCGTGTCTTCATTGTGAAATTGTCCTACAAACACTCCTTCTGGCTGACCATTGTAGGCAGGCTCGACCTCAAATACAATCACCAACGATCTGTTGCTCGGAATCCTTCGACGTCGTTGTGGTGCAAGCGATTCTTCATCTCGCGGTCGTCTTCGTGAACTAGTTGCTTGAAATGACATGACAAGTGTAGTATCTTGGCTATCCATATTCAAAGGCTAAAACAATAAGAACAAACTTGGGCTACTAACAAAGTTCTACGCTATCTTGGAGAGAATGACTACATCAACTATGGATTTTGGTAGTGCTCTCTCCTCTTTTCTGTTTTCTGGATGAGCAAGCTTCAGTAAGAAGCTATCGTCGAACCAGATTGGGTTTCTCAGGATATCGTCGATGAAACTCCTGTACCTTTTGCGGCGCATTCGCAAGATTTTCGGCCGGCTCCCATGTTCGTTCATTAATATCGTAACCGCTCCAATGCACAAAATATTCTAATTTACCCCGTCTTTGTCGTGAATCAAGGACCTTTTCCACCTCGTATTCTTCGTGGTTCTCTATTTCTATGCTAGGTGGTGGACATTGTACTCTTCCAAGAAAAGACGATTCTCGATAAGGCTCCAACAAAGAAACATGAAAGACAGGATATACCTTCATAGTAGCTGGTAACTCCAGACGATACGCTACAGGATTGATCTGCTTCTAGATAACAAATGGTCCCAATCTCCGATAGTCCAATTTGTCACATGACCGCTTGGTCTTAATATTTCGTCGAAGCAGCCAAACTTTGTCTCCAATCGTGAATTTAGGTGCCTGATTTTGAAATTTATCCGCGGACGCCTTGTAAGATTCTTGGGCAGTTTGCAATTGAAGCTTTAATGTAGTTTGAAGCTGCGAAAGCTCCTTCACCAATCCTTCAGCTGCCGGATTGTTAATCGTTGACAAACTCCATAAGTCAAGCTTCGGATGGTATCCATAATTAGAAAAGAATGGCGTTTGTTGAGTTGACGCATGAAGGGTGTTGTTATATGCGAACTCGGCTAGCGGTAGATATGCGACCCAATCATCTTGTTGATAGTTGATGGTGCAACGTAAATATTGCTCTAAAACTTGATTCACCCGTTCTGTTTGGCCGTCCGTTTGAGGATGAAATGCCGAAAAAAGCTTGATATCCACCTTCAATATTTCAAAAAGAGATTTCCAAAACTTTGACACAAACTGGGTTCCTCGATCCGATACGATATCATCTGGTAGATCATGATATCGATACACATTATCAAGAAAGAATCTTGCTGTGTCTTCGCTTGACGATGTCTTCTTGCAAGGGACAAAATGCGCCATCTTTGTAAGCCGGTCTACAACAACAAAAATGCTGTCAAATGAATTTGATGGTGGTAGATCCGTAATAAAGTCCATGGAAACCGAAGACCATGGTCGGCGCGGAATAGACAATGGCTGTAGAAGTCCATAAGGCCGATGTCGAGGATTTTTGGATCTTGAACAAATGTCACAAGATATAACAAAATCTTTCACATCCTTCCACATTTGAGGCCACCAGAAATCGTGAGAAATAAGTTCCAAGGTCTTATTGAATCCAAAATGTCCCGCAACTGGAAAGTCATGACGAGATTGAAGAACTCGGAGTCGTGTTGGTCCTTTTGGGATATACAACTGCTCTTCGAAATATACTAGATCTCATTTCATCTTGAATTTATCATCACTAGCATGTTGCTTGATATCAAGAGCTAGAGAATCTTCAATGGTTGCGGCCCGTACCTGGTCGAGGAAGTCAGCATCAATTGGTACAATAGCTGCGTTGAGCCGAAATTTCTCTGGCTTCAACAATGTCGTGCACTGTTGATCAAATGCTGCATCTCCAGTCTTTGGCGCGAGATATGATCTCCTTGATAATGCATCGGACAACCCTTGTTGCTTCCCAGGCTGATAAGTAATAACAAAGTCGAACCTGGATAGCGACATACTCCATCGAGCTTGAAGCCGATTCAAAACCCGAGCCGACATAAAATACTCCAAATTCTTGTGATCCGTATATACGGTCACTGGATGTGCAGTTCCTTCGAGAAAATGGCGCCACTCTTGGAAAGAATCTATTATAGCAAGGAGTTCCTTATCGTGGATCTCATAGTTGATCTCAGCAGCAGAGAATTTTTGAGAATAGAACGCAACTGGATGGAGCTTCTCATCTACGCCCATCTGTGAAAGTACAGCTCCCAAAGCAAAATCCGAAGCATCTGTCTCCAAATAAAAGGCCTTTGTAAAGTCCGGATGTACCAAGATTGGAGCTGTAGTAAATACCATCTTCAAATCTTGAAATGCTTTTTCTACGATAGATCCCCATTCGAGCTTGTCTTTACACGTTAACTGAGTGAGGGGGGTAGCAACTTGAGAATAATTCTTGATAAAGATCCGATAGTAGTTAGCAAATCCAAGAAAACATTGTACGTCCCTAACCGTCTTCGGAACTTCCCAAGACATGATTGCTTCCACCTTCTTTGGATCCATCTTCAAGCCTTCTGTAGTCGCAATGAATCCCAAAAACTCCATCTCAGTTTGGTGAAATAAGCACTTCTCCAATTTGGCATAGAGTCCTCGCTCCCGTAGTTTTTTGAGTATCAGACGAACGTGCTTCTCATGTTCTTCCTCGTTCTTAGAAAATATCAAAATATCATCTTGATAGATGACAACAAAATCATCTAGATGCTCTCGAAAGATGTCATTCATCATGTGTTGAAAGTCCGCTGGAGCATTAGTAAGACCAAATGGCATGACATTGTATTCAAAATGGCCATACCTTGTTCGGAACGCTGTCTTCCATTCATCTCCTTCCTTAATTCGCACAAGGTTGTAAGCTCCCCTTAGATCAATCTTTGTAAAGATCCTTGCACGCCCAAGTTGTTTTAGAAGACCAGAGATCAAAGGCAGTGGGTAGCGATTCTTTTTTGTCACCTTGTTGTGACCTCGATAGTCCACGCACATCCGTAGTGAGCCATCCTTCTTCTTCACAAATAAGATTGGTGCCCCAGTTGGCGACTTCGAATGACGGATGAAGTTCTTGGCTAGATTCTCGTTAATGTACTTCCGCAACTCAGTCAACTCCGTCTGCGACAAATTGTAGATTGGTCCAAAAGGTGGTTGTGCTCCTTCTTGCAATTCAATGGCACAGTCATAGGGTCGATGCTCTGGCAGCATATCAGCATTCTTCTTTTCAAAGACATCTTTGAATTCTTCATACTGCTTTGGAATAACCAAAGTCGGAGTTGCATCTTCTCGAGTCGGAGTTGCGAAGATGACAAGAGGTGTATTTTGCTTGGCTTCCTTCATGAAAGCCCTTGCACCTATAAACAAGGATTTGTTTCTAGACATTGTCTTGGCAGATTCCACCTTCAAGGAGTTTGTTGGAAATGTCACTTTTCGCAACTTCCAATCTATCAATGGATT